GGTCGCAGTGACGGTACGTTAGCGCAGCGTTACCCTGTCTCTTATACACATCTAGATGTGTATAAGAGACCCATCGCGCACAGACCGCATGTGGCTGGGTGACGACGCCTGGCACTGCTTACTGAGAGAGACCTGTCTTCCCTCAAATAGCACGTACAGCCATTCTCGCTGTATCTGGACGGAAAGTTGCCCTAATACAGCTGTACTGACTGCGCTGTTCTCGCTGTATCTGGACGGAAAGTTGCGCTAAATACAGCTGTACTGACTGCACTGACTATTTGGGGGAAGACGGTACCACACGAGGAATCAGACAAATTGAATAATACAAAAAACTCTGCCTCAACCAGCTTCTTGTCCTTCCATCCCCCCCTCCCCCCCCCCTCTTGAAGCACCAGATCGGAACCTGGTCCAAGTTCTGACCAGGTTCTGTAACAGACTGGTGACATATGGCATCGGTGCCCAGGACGCACTGCACCGGGCAAGATATGGGAAACCCTCTGTATGAAGCAAATTCCTTGTGACGACCAAATCCGAACCTGGTCCAAATCAAGACCAGGTTCATGTGAGATGGCCGATGTATGACATCGCTGTAGGGATACACTGCACCAGGCCAGAAGCTCGAGTCGTGAGCGTCTTTGAAAAGACGGGCCGAAGGCCTCACTTCGAGGAATCGTGGCACTCTACTTCATATTCTATACAACCCTCTGTCCGATCCAAATCCCCTGTGTAAACACCAAATCCGAACCTGGGCCAAATCCAGACCAGGTTCGTGTGACAGACAGCTCAACTGTGGAATTGCTGTACAGGGACCCACTTCAGTAGGTCAGATATGTAAAACCCTCTGTTTGAACCTTCCTGTCATTCCAAGCACCTGTGGAACAGTACCTGTCCCCAAATGCAGACCAGATTCATGCCACGAGTCCGTGGCATGCACCTCGGCATATGGAGCCTGTTGTCATTTCAAGACCATTTGGAACACGAACTGGGCTCCAAATGCGGACCAGGTTCATGCCCACAGCCTTAGGCATGAACCTCGGGTTGCCCAACCGATCATATTCATGCCACAGGCTCCGTGCACACAGACCTGCTGTGTGCAGAAACCCACTCCACAAGGGTGCATACGCCAAACCCTGTGCTGAGTGACTTCTTGCCATTCCAAGCGGGACCAGCGATATCAAGATGGGCCCAGGGAATGCCTTCCTTGACAAACTCCTTCAAGAAGAGAGCAGCGATTATGGCCCCTCCGTGTCTTCCGCCCGAGTTGAGCATATCTGCCACACTACTCTTGATCGACTCCCTGTACCCCTCCTCCATCGGCAGCCTCCAAAGCTTCTCCCCTGCCAGCCTCGCTGCCTGCCGGAGCTCTTCGGCCATGATGTCACTTGTCGTGAACATCCCACAAATGTCAGTGCCGAGTGCGACTTTGCATGCCCCCGTCAACGTAGCCACATCCACAATCGCATCGACCTCGAGCTTGCATGCGTATACAAGTCCGTCGGCTAACGTCAGTCTGCCTTCCGCGTCCGTGTTGTTGACTTCAATCGTTTTCCCGTTGGATGCAGTGAGAATGTCGCCTGGTCGCATTGCCCATCCGCTGACCATGTTCTCGCAAGCTGCTGCAATAAAATGAACTTCGACACCCTCCGGCTTGACCGATCCAATCACCTCGGCCGCTCCCAGCACCGCACCCGCTCCCCCCATGTCGAACTTCATCACGTCTATACTTGAACCCCTGGGCTTCAGGTTGTAGCCCCCGCTATCGAAAGTCAACCCCTTTCCGATCATAGCGAGGCGTTTCTTCGACTTTCCACTCGGCGGCGAGTATTTCAGGTGGATGAACTTCGGCGGGAGGGTTGAGGCCGCCGCAACCCCAAGGAACGCGCCCATTCCCAGCTTTTCACAGTCGCTCTTCTCCAAGATCGTGGCCGACAGGACATCCGCGTGTTTGGTTGCAATGCCGACTGCCACATCAGCGAGGGCGCCAGGTGTAAGCACATTCGCAGGCGCGTTGACCAGCTGCCTTGTCAGCATCACCCCGTCGCAGACCTTGACGGCCATCTGGAACGCAGCATCTACCTCTGCACCTGGTTCAAACCCGAGTACCTCCACCGACTCAAGGGTTAATTTCTTCGAATCTGATTTCTTAAACCTTGTGTCTTCGAAACATGCCAAAATAACCCCTGATGAAAGCCCTTTCGCAGCTAACCCCCTGGCCTTGCTGCTGCTCAACCCTGCCAAGCAACCTTCGCCGGATCCTAAAAGGAGCTGCACAGCTGCTGAGTGAGCAGTGCAGCCTTTTGCGACCGATGCCAAGACGGCGCCTGCTCCCCTCCACAGCGCGCTGTCGTTCTCCAACTCTTCATCAGACTTACGCTTTCCGAGCCCAACGAGTCCGATGCGCTTGCAACTGAGTCCCGTCGAACCTTTCACAAGCCTGGTGAAAATCGACTGCTTAGTCTTGCCCTTAAAATCGCCCTCCGCAACAATCTCTCCAAGCAGTCCCACAGTGATATCATCCATGTTCGCCAGCTCCGCATCGAGGAACTTTCCGGAGGTCTTGTCCTTCGTCATCGTCTCCTCCCACACAAGCAGCGCAAGAACATCTCCCGCCCATGTCGCGACCGGTGTCGACGAGACAGAGAATCGGATCGTGGGAATCAACGGTGTGCTGGGTTTCGTAAGTCCAAGAGTCTCCGTCTCCGTCTCCGTCTCTGACGACACATCGCAAGGTTGGGATTTCAATTCCACAGTGGTCGACGACGACGAGGAAGGTGTAGTAGCATCCATCGCAGCCCAGACGCAGCGCACAACTTTTGTGCAGGAACCGGCACGCCTTGAGAATGATGGCCTCCTATGCTGCTGCCGTGGTAGGCGAGGCCGTCCACCTAACTCCGACGAGGAGGAAAGAGTCGACAAGAAAGCGCAGCAGCCACAAACTGCAGCGAACACTACCCGGTCTTTCGCCTTCCCCTTTCCCCCGACGAAAAGATTGGTCCAACACTTGGTGGATGGCAAGATCGAGCGCTGCCGGCCACGAGCTGAACGAGAACTGTTTCGGTGAGGCAATCCCCATGCAGTAGCTGCCCAAAGCCAGCTGACGTCTGATGCGTTGATGCCACCTTTTGCAGTTAGACCCACCACTAGTTGTCCGCCACGTGTCCCTGCCTGCAACAGTGCAACGGACTCAGCAGCTGCTGCAGAAAATGACCCCATCATCAACAAACCCTACAACCTGCATGAACCAACCAGTCACTCAAGCCCGGTGGCAGATACAACTAGCCCACCCACGTGGTCAAGTCACACACAACCAACCACCTTCCCTCCTCTCCTCTCGCCCCCCCCCCCCCCTCTCGCCCAGTACCCCTCCGACCTTCTACCTATGTCCCTAAATTGCCCGAGCCCCTAACAAACCCCAAACTTCTCCCATCTATAAGGTGGGGATCATGAGGACCAATCAGTGAGGTTTGGGAAAGACACAGGGGGAATGAGAGCATACTCACGACTATAAGAGGACAACAAACGAGGGGCTGTGACAAACTGTTTCATCAGAGTTTCATATATATCGTCAAATAGAACTGCCCGGTAAACCGTAGGCAGAGAGGGAGAAGAGGACAACAAACGAGGGGCTGTGACAAACTGTTTCGTCGGAGTTTCACCGACTCATCAGGAGGCTGAATATATATATATGACAGACCTTTCTTTGTTTTGTGGATGTTTTGCTGGCTTGTGATGGGGTGTGAACCGACAGTCTGTAGAGTTTTCCATCTGGTGTGGGTGAGTGATAGTCT